AGGTCTGGCTGGATCCCAACGAGACCAATGAGATCGCCAACGCCAACTCGCGTAAGTGCTCGTCCCGCACGCCACGGCCGCGTTACGCAACGCTTATGTTGGCCTGAGGAACGGGGATGCGTCAGGGAGATGGGAAAAGGGGATTTTTACTCCCTCTCTGGCAGTGAGCTTGGCTTAGGTAACATTCTGACACTCGAGCAACTTGTTTTGTCTTGAAAGTGGAAGTGAGCCCACTGGCAGGAGGTACAAAGGGCCCCAGTGCACTGGTGCGGTGCCTGGCGAGCTCTGGGTAGTGGGTTTAGTACGTGGTGATCTCTGAGTAATCAGTGAGGGAGAAGTGAGGGGAAAAGAGCAACTCCAGCAGCATCAGGGGGCTTTGGGAAAGGTCTGGCTTGTCCTTTGCCTTGGATCCTTTTCCCACCAGCAGGACTGGAGCCTGTGCTTGTGTGTCCTCTCGTTGCACGTAAGGTGTTGAATGTGGAGTTTGTTTCCACAGGTCAGCAGATCAGAAAACTGATTAAAGATGGTCTGATCATCCGCAAGCCCGTGACCGTTCACTCCCGGGCCCGCTGCAGGAAGAACACCTTGGCCCGTCGGAAGGGCAGGCACATGGGCATTGGTAAGTGCTGCCTCCCAGAACTGTCCGTTTGCCGCGGTATCTGGTTCACGTGCAAGCTTCCATTGAGCAGCCATCTCCAAGAGCCTGAAAATCCGCAGTTTGTACATTGATATTTCTTTTCCTTGAAGAAAAGAGAAGGATTAAACACTTGAGCAGAGGCGTGGTGGTCAACCTGCGGAAACTTGCCCTTGTTCTCATCCCGTTTTCGCTCTCCAGGTAAGAGGAAGGGTACGGCCAACGCTCGTATGCCCGAGAAGGTCACCTGGATGAGGAGGATGCGAATCCTCCGGCGCCTGCTCCGCAGGTACAGGGAGTCCAAGAAGATCGACCGCCACATGTGAGTGTGCCCACACCAGAACACCCCTGTCCTGCTGCACGCAGCTCCTGTGCCTCGCTGCTCTGCGCCTGGAAGGGGTTTGGTGTCCCATAGAGCCCCGTTCAGCGCCCGTTGCATTCTGCCCCCGCAGGTACCACAGCCTGTACCTGAAGGTCAAGGGCAACGTCTTCAAGAACAAGCGGATCCTGATGGAGCACATCCACAAGCTCAAGGCAGACAAAGCTCGCAAGAAGCTCTTGGCGTAAGTGCTTCGCTGTTCGACTTCAGCTTTGCAGCTGTGGCATCCGTTTATTTCTGTAAATCGCTGCGGGTGGGGGATTCCAGTGGCGGCTGCTGCTGCTGGGGGCTCTGTCTGATGAAAAAATCAAACCCAAACTGGGTTTGCTGGCTGGAAACAGGGAAATGCCCAATCCTGGCAGAGCTCTGTGCGTTTCAGTGCCGTTGTTGGGGGCTCCTCTGGCTGTAAGTGGGCAGATTTAGTGACGCGGCCGCTCACATCAGTGATGGACTGAGGAGGAGGCACAAGAGCCCATGATTTAAAAATGCTGCTGCATGCTTGGTTTTGGGGACCACGATCCTGTGGGGCAGGAGGAGATGAGGGCCAGTGGTGGAGGCTTCCCGAGGCTGTTCTGAGGCAATTCCTGCACATTCATGAGCTCTTTTAACCTCTCGCAGTGACCAGGCCGAAGCGCGCAGGTCCAAGACCAAGGAGGCTCGCAAGCGCCGTGAGGAGCGGCTGCAGGCCAAGAAGGAGGAGATCATCAAGACCCTTTCCAAGGAAGAAGAGACCAAGAAGTGAGCGCTGCCTGCCTTGTGGACACAGTGACCTCCATCAATAAAGCACCACCTCCAGGACTCCCCCGCTCTCTTCTGCTCTGTTGCTCTCGGGGGTTTTTGAATGGGGAGGGGATGGCCTGGGGGGCAACGGCTGCTCCCCACCTCAGTCCTGCTGCCCCCCGCCCTCGTCCTGGGGCAGGGAGGGGCTTGTTCCCGTTACCTCCTCAGGGTGCAGCCACAGCCAATTCACCCCCGAGCAGGGCCTGGTGCTGCCCTGCTGAGCTCTGGTGGGGCAAAAGGGGTCTGGGGGATCCCTGGTGCAGGCAGCAGCTCCTGGGGGGCAGTGCTGGGCCCCCCAGCAAGGCACTGCACCCCAAGGGGGTGTGCTGATGGCAGAGCCAGGCCAGAGGTGGGCACAGAGCCCTCAGCTTCCCTTTGGTGGCCTTGGCTCCTGGCTAAGCTGGGGTGGCCCGGGGGGGGCAGCTGGAGCCACCCCTGTGTCCCTGGTGCCACCAAGAAACCAGCACTGAGGTTGTGAGGTTGGGGTGCAGCCCCGGGTGGGGGGAGAGACCACCCCACCTCTTGGAGACCACCGAGCAGGGGGACACTGCAGCCCCCTTGCTGCTGGGCTCGGTTTTGGGGGTCTCTGTACCCACAGGATGGCACTGGACAGGAAGGATGTGGAGCTCCCCAGGATGCCCCACACTCGCCCCATAGCTGTTCCTCACCAAACCCACACCTGTGGGTGCTGCTGTCCCCACACCAGTGACCATCCACGATGTGATGGGGAACAGAGACAGCCCCCCCCACTGCTGTGCCCCATCCCTGCCACCACCCAACGCTTTTATAACCCGGGGTGGGTGTTTGTAGTTGTCCCCACC